CAATTTCCATTTCCCTGCACTCAGCGTTAGATAAGGAGATTGCTCCCTTTTTTGGTCTCCTGGAATGGTGCTTGTGTTCTGCAGGCTCTAAACTGAGCCATGTGGAGAAGGCAGTGAGATCTGGATAGCACAGGCTCATGTTATGTGGGTGTCCTGTATGAGCTGTGGGTTTGCCACCTATGCAGAAAGAGAAAGTCCCTTTCCTTATCAGGAGGAACTTGGGGTTATAACACCATGGAAAAAAAGGCAAGGACCTCAAGTCAAATTTGTCTCATAAACAGCAATGATTTAAAGGCTGAGCATGCTTATGCTTTATGCTTCTCGTGTACAAGTACAAATTAATTAAAGGTTACTCCAGGCTGTATATCAAAACCTGTTTACCAAAGTATTTCTGAGAATTTGTCTGAGGAAGGAGTGCAGCTGAACTCAATTTGGGAGTAAATTAGAAGTGTGTGTTTCAGTCCTGGTGTGGTCTTAAATGTGGCTTATACATTTCATGTGAGGGCTGTTTGTGACCTTACCCTCTGTCCTAAGGAGCACATGCCACAAGAATAAACTGGAATCTGCCATCCTTGCTCTGAGCTAGTGGTAAGTTAGGTCTCCCTTTGTTGGGAAGTAGGGGGTTTTTTTCATCTGTGCCTGGTTTACTGGAGCATATAGGAAGGAAAGCGGTAGAACCCTCCTTTGCATCACCTCCACTTCCCTGTGCAGTGTGTATCACACATACGTGTTGCTGCTGCTGTTTCCTCTGTGCCACTAGCGTTGGTGACTTTAGATGGTCTCTGTGCTGCTTGCAGAACAGTGCCTGAAGCAGGCCTGAGGCCAAATTAGCTGCTTGTCCATCTCCTTTGCCTGACACTAGGCTTTGAGAGCCAGCTCAGGGCAACTCTACTGATATTGTAAAGAGATTACATAGGAAGCTTTTTGCCTGAGTATCCCTTAGCATTTAAGGGTCCAGCCTCCAACTACCTGGTTAGCCTCTGTAGTCATACAGTTAGACAAATGAGGTGAATCATTTTTATCCTAGTAAAAGAGGTGGATCTGCTACAAAGGAAGTGGAGTTTGCAGGATTCTGAGCAAGTTCAGAAGGACTGTGCAGGTACAGCTAATTTGACTGTGACAATCTAGACTATCACGAAGTGTAGCTAAAGTCTTGATGTTGGTGTTCTATGCGTGCTGTAAGTAAGTCAGCCAAGACTGGACAACCCCTGGTTTCGTATTGTTATGACATCTTACATGGAGAATATATAAGCTTTCTTTTGGTGCATATAATAGTGAAACAGAAGTTAGAGCTCAATAATTTAAACTATTTCTTCCCCTATGGAAATGTTCACAAGAAGCAGTGTATTTTTGGATGCACTCCCTTCCTTCTAGTTCATATGTTGGCTTGTGGCTATGGTTTGGTCTAGAACAGGAAAAACAAAATTGTGGTCCAATGAAGTCTACAGAAGCCCTCACAATATAAGCCCAAGTATGTTTGCACGTGTGAAAGACTGCATCTGACATGCAAATGAAATACTGAACATGGGCAGCTCAAGAATATTGATGGCATATTAAACACTAAAATAGAAGGACAAAATAGAGAAATGTGCTTGTCTTCCACATCCTTCCTTAACCCACTGGGTATTTTTATTTGAAGTAGTTAATTGAGCTGACAGAGATTTCGTATTCCAGAAGGGAATGTATTTTGGCAAAATATCCTAGCTTTCAATACAGGCACATGAATAAAGGGTAACCTTTAAAATCCCCATAGAGTAAACTGTTGAGAAACAAAACAGACACATGGAGAGACCATCTGCAAATTCTCTGCAGAGCTGCAGGATACCATCCCAACTGATATCAAATACTTTTAAAGCATGGTAAAATGGTACATATACATCTGTCATATTAAGAAAGAGCAAAGATTAGGCTTTCATTCTTGTTTATGATCTCCCATAGCAGCTACTACCCCAGTATTTATACATTGAGCAGATCTGCAAGCAGTGGCACATGGTAGACTTCAAACAAAAACGTGCATCTTTCTGCCTCAGGAGACTCCAGCCAGGGTTGCAGGCTTTTGTCTTTGCCTACTGGGAAAAATTTATTAGGAAAGTAGAAATATTCTCAAGGCTGGCAGATACTAGAGTAAAGCCATGTAGCATTTTCTTTACAGCTGATGTCCCCTTGACCATCAATGTTTTCTCTCCAGTGCTCACATACTTAAGCCTTGCTTCTGTAAACTATGCTGGTCAAATGGATTGCAGTTATCTAGGTGAGTCATGGAAAGAGAGGTCACTAAGGTAACTGTGGCCTAGGCAAGTGATAAATCAGGCCCAGAGTTTCATTTGGAAACAGCAGTGCATTGAAAGTGAGCAAAGAGAGACTGTATTTTCATGTCCTGCACAGGAAGCAGGCTACTGTGCTCTGAAAGACTGAAGCATATGCTTTCTTTCTTCCTTCAATGTAAAATTCAGTGCAGAGAATTAGAGCAAACTAACACTTTAAAAACCAAACAAACACGCACAAGCCATCCAGACTTGGCTGTGTGCATAGCAGATGTCAGAGAATCTGCACTACTTTGACAAACCTGAACAGATGGTTCTCTAAGGTGACAGACTACTAGCTTAGCTTTTTCTCCAAAGTATTTTCCTTTTGCTATCAGCAACTGCTCTGCTCTGTTTGGATTTAGGGTAAGTCAGCTGTTACTTACCCAGTTTCTTCTGTCTGAATCTTGAGATGATACAACAATGAATATATAGGAGGAAAACAAGACACAGAGCTGAATACTCCTCTTCTGTACAGAATCTGAAGAGGACAGAGGTAGCATCATTCCCTACAAGGTCCACAGTGAAAAGAAGGTGGCTATCATTGCTGTCTGACTGAAATCATACAATCCATGTGTGCCATGCAACCAGCTCAATGGTGGCTGCTGTAGCATTGTACAAGGGTTCTGATTTTGTGAATGGTGCGAACATTGGCAGAAGAGGGGATGCTGTTGTTTGAGCACTACGAAATCAGGATTCAGTTCTCACCTTTGCTACAATCTTTCATCCTAACATTGAACAAATCATTTAACTTCTCTGTGATTCAGTTCATGATATCTACACTATAAATTCATGCTTGTTGATAGCCCCTTTTATTCTGCTAGAAACTTAGGTGAGTAAAATGTGACAGCTAAGCAGGGGAATAAGACATTCCAGAGGCTAAGGACATCTGCTCTCTGATATTTGTGTTTAACAAGAGATGTACTGTATAATGATGACTCCTAGTGGAATGGTGTCTTAAGTGTTGCCAAAATGAAGAAAGATAACCTACGTTCTGGCAGTCTCGTTTCCTTCCTCTTGGGCATTCTCATGGTGAATGCAGTGGCTAACCCTTGGTGTACATCTCCTTTCCTCCCTCCCAGTCTCTTCCCTCATACTTAACCAGCTCTATTTATTTATCTTTTAATATGTCTAAGTCGTGGAGAGAGAATGATTTTCCATCACAACTGAACTAAAAGAAATTACCAAAATTGTTTCAGGGAAATCATGGGTCACCAGAATTTGCACTCTTCCAAATACTGAACTGATATTTAACTGTCTTGATCAGATTAGACTACCCTATTCTCCCCATGAGTAAGACCACAGCAGTCAGAGGAGTCCCTCTGTCAAAAACTAAAGGCATGTTTGTGACAAACTGTGGCTATTTCTGTCTGCTCGGTGATTTTCCTAGGAATGATAATTTGAGTATGGAGGGATAACTGATACAGTCTATCACAGTAAGGCTTTGATCAAAGTCCACAGCAATTTTCCACTGCATTTGGATGTTTTTATTGCTGAAAAAGTGGCTGTATTTTTGGCCAGTTTGCCAGCTCTGCCTTTCTTAAGGAGAAGGTAATAATGACCATTAGCATTTTTAACCAGCAAAATCAGACAAGATTTTATCAGACCATGCCCAGTGTAACCACTGTTTATAGCATCTCACACTTTCTATGTTTTTCTTTTCATCTTCTGTCATTTTATCTCATTCTTTGATTTCTCATTCAACCTTTGGCCACTAGTTCATCCAGATTGACATTACCATTATTTTTAGGTTTTGCTAGATTACTTGTGAAAAGATTATTCCCAGGGAGGATATTTGTTCCCTTTAAAGTCCTTTGAAGTGCTTGATTTCTATAATTATTTTTTTTTGTCAGTATTTTTCTTTAAAAAGCCAATATTTTTCTATCTTTGAAAAATATTCCTTTTGATAACTACATAATCATTAAACTTAATTTTGAAAAAAGTCACATAACTGCAAAATTTTTGTGTTGTATCTGACATTTGCATAATTGGCTGTTCATGTGCACACAAGTTTCTGGTGATACTGGCTCTATTAATGTAAATAAGGACTGCAGGAGCAAGCATCTCTAACTAAGAAAAACCAAAAGCTTTTATCTTGCACCACCCCAGCAATTTCCAAGATGCACTTAAAATTAAAAGAATCTCAATATTTACATGATATATTCTAAGTTGAATTATGCACTAGGCTTCCACAAACTGCACATAGGCAAAGTTGTTCACTAAGTTGTCAATACGCAAAGTTGTCACCCTTCAAGATCTGTGTTTCTGTGCCAAAAAGGATGGCACCCAGGTGTAGTTGGCTGAGTGGCACATTCTGAGGCTGTGAAAGGTTAGTAGTGGTCCTGATGTATGGAAGCAGATGAAGGGAGCTGGAGAAAGAGCATCACAGCTATGGTGACTGTTATGGGAGTAAACATACTCTAAGGAAACTCGCCAAGGAGTGGTTTGCACTGCTGGGGAGGTGGGTGACAACCCATGCTGAGGCCTGTGGGACTGGCTAGTTCAGTGTTAGCTAATGTTAGCTCATTCAGCTGTGTCAGTCTGTGCTCCAGTTGTTCCTTGTCCCTGTAGTACAAACCTGTGAGGCAGAGCAATGGCATAGAAAGAAAAAGGCTGTTAGTGCCAGTAATACCCTACTGGAAGTCCTACCTCTTACTGTTGTGATTTCCCCTAACGTGCTTTGCGTGTGGTTTGCAGACAAGCCAGACCCACCAGCCGGGACACCCTGCGCCTCAGACGTGCGGAGCTCCTCCCTCACCCTCTCCTGGTACGGCTCTTCCTACGATGGTGGGAGCGCCGTGCAGTCCTACACTGTGGAGATCTGGAACTCGGTGGATGACAAGTGGACAGACCTCACCACCTGCCGCAGCACCTCCTTCAACGTGCAGGACCTGCAGGCTGATCGGGAGTACAAGTTCCGTGTGCGAGCTGCTAACGTGTATGGCATCAGCGAGCCCAGTCAAGAGTCCGAGCTGGTAAAAGTTGGAGAGAAACAAGAAGGTTAGTTTTTAAAGAGGAAAAAAAAATCAATTTAAGAATCCCTGAACCATTTCCCAGTGAGGTCCAGCAGCTGTACACAGTCCTTCGCATGTCCCTCTGTGCAGTGAATACTTACGGCTCTAGAGTACACTAAAGTCCCCTCACAGGCTTTCTGTGGGTGTTTGAGCGTGTAAGTTTTGCATGCATCCAGTGTGGCAATTTGGCCTCGGGGATCCCCAAACCCTGCCTTGTGAAATGAACCCATAATTCTGCTTCTGGCTCGCCCTGTGAGTGCTGGCTGACAGACCTGTAGTTACATGCACAGGTAGTGGGAGACGAAGCCTTTCACACACAAGTTACACATTCACTACATGCCCGGTTGCAAAATGTTGTTTGGAAGCTTACCCAAAACATAGCGATGGCTTCATTAGTTTATACTGGGCACACCATGGAAAAACAAGTCATTAACACTATCATAAATTTGCTTTTGGAAAAAGTAAGTGTGCCTGCTGCTAGCTAAGCATTGACTATGCTGCAGAAACTGAACTAGCCTCTCATACCTAGCTGTAGTTGCCATGTTTCAAATCTCAGCACGCTGGAGCACCTCAGTCCTGTTGCCTTAGTACACCAGTCTTGGAAATTCAAGGCTATCCTACTTAGTATGTTGGTTTTGCAGCATTATGGGCACTAAAAATATTTTTTAGGGTTTTTGTTTACAGTTGAACATACTGGAAAAAAAAAATCTTTTTCAGAATTTATTATTTGCTTAAGATCTTATTTTTTTGCTTAAGATCTTCTCACAGGACTAATGGGGAAAGCTGGAGCATTTTAGAAATCATTCAGAAACTGGTATAAAAATTTTAAACATACACAAAAGTCAGCATTATTTTTAAAATACAGATATTGAATGCAGATTTTTGTGCACAGCCTGTGCAAGGATCTCTTTGATAGTCATACCCACACCAAAAAGCCCAGAGCAGGAATAATGTATTTTACCCTTTTCTCGTCTTTGAGGAGCGGACTGGGTGTTTTATCTGCCCCTCCTTACTTATGTATGCTGGGCTATGGAGTTTCAAGTGTCTCATACAAGCCTTGTGATGTTCTTATCTTATTGCCACAGCAAGACAAAATGATAGCTAAGTGGTGCAGCATCACACGACTGTGTAAGCCTCTCAACAGACATTTCCAAAGAAAAGTAAATCATATTTCTCTTCAAGTGCTAAATTGGATGCATTCTGAGTAATAATTTTCCTCAGTTTTAAAGATTTAAACTTGATCTCTAAATCAAGCTCCAACTTCCTTTCAAAGAGGAGAAAATAACACTAAGGAAGCAATAAAATTTGAAGGAAGCTAGATGGTATTGGCTCTCCATAATAAAATTCCCTGTGTTTGAATGCCCTCTTTCTTTAGTTGCAGGACAAGCACTTTCTGGATTTGGGGACCTGACTTCCTACATTTGTTTTTCCTAGAGCAAGCACTATGTGTACTGGACCAAAGCAAATAAGCTTTTCTTAGGACCGAGAGTTTTCTTACATCGATTTAATACAAAAAGGATAGAAAGTGTACGAATCATGATACATATAAAAACTCACATTAAAAAAAAAAAAAAAAAAGAGGGTTGTGAGCTGAAAGAAAATGTATTGTGCCTGAAGTGGGGTGGAATGTGTCAGTGGTCTCAGTGCCAGGGCTTCTGGATTTCGATTCTTGATACTAGAGCTAGTGTGCAGAAAGGGCAGGTCATATAAAGCATGATTTTTCAAGAGTGTGAATATAACTGATGCTTTAATGAAAGGCAGTGGAAAATGCATCTGTGCAGGACCTCTCAAAGTCAGGACTTTAAGCTGCCATCTATGTAAACACTTAGCTGAGTAACTAGGGATTTTCCGTTGCTGCCAGCAAGACTGATTACTGATTTTCATACCGAGGTGGGCAGTGCATATTAGCAGTCTCAGTATAAACCTGGTGAAGAAAGGCATGGCTAAGTTTTCATTGTGCATTTAAAGAAAACCGCTACTAAAATCAGGTTTCAAGTCACAACAGATTAAAGTAGGCACTGCCATGTTTGAAGAAAACTTTGTACCGTTGACTCACTTCTGAGAAAGATTTTAGCACAGCTACTCAGTGGTCACCAAGCCCAGCTATGTTCTGCAGATCTAATTTAGGCTTTCACTAGTGGACCAAAATGTTTCTAATTCATGGCTTCAGTGTAGTGTCGCTGCAGAACTGGGAACCGACTTCTTTGTCTAATCAGTATTTGGCAGACTTCACTGGCAGCATGGCTGGGATCAGCTCCCTTACACAGCCCTTAAAAGGGGAGGAAAATCTGATGTGCTCTGTGCAAGTGTGGTTTCTAGCTGAGGAAGATCTGAGGACAGCTGCCCCTGAGTGGGGAGGGCTCGTTCCTCTCCCTGCTCTTCTGGTAAATCACTGCAAAGCAGCTCACCTGTGCTGGGACATACAAGGGTTGCAAATCCAGAGAAAATAAGAAAATGGCTTTAGTAACGAATTATATCTACTTGATTGCCTTTGCTGCCAGAATACAGATGCAGCATTATATGTTGGATGTGAAAAGGTGATGTCCATACTTCAGACCAGCTATCTGCTCACCCTGAACCTTTTTTGCCTGCTGTTTCCTTATCTGCTGCATCTAACTGTATACTGTGATGCACCTAGCAGCATCCAGAGTACTGCTTTAATGTTTCATAACATAAATCTGTTGACACAGTGGGGATAAATCACTTGGTTAGGCTTGCGCTCTGTGATGGTAAAGTGCAGCTTCAGCAGCTAAAAGGAGAATTATTCAGGTCACTGTGCAACTGTCTTTGCAGTTTCTCCAATTACTGGTCATAGCCACAGGTCTTAAGAGCAAGCCCAGGCAGTGTAAGTAATAATATCTAACAACAGTCCAGCTACAGCCCCTTTCCTCTGATACCTTCAGGCAACATAGGGAACAACACACAACCTGTGCTACTGACAGTTTGTGAGCATGAAAATTAAAAATTAAAATCAAGACATTCCAGTCAGCTTTTACTCTCTCTTGTGTCACTGGATTTGCCAGCATCTCTGCCTGCCTTTGAGTATGCCTGCAGAACTGAGGCTCCATTTGCACCTCGATGATTTCAAAATTCAGCTGTGCTCAGGAAAGCACATGCTGTCCAAATTTTCTAGTCATCTTGAGTCTGAAATATTTGTCTTGATGCTTTGTGGGAAATCTTTTCATGTACAAATTTGCTTTATTTTTGGCTTTGCAATCCCAAAAATGCATAGAAAAGCCAGAAAAGGATTTGTCATTGAACAGAATGTGTTCTGAAGTGTTGTTATTCATTTTAATTTCTCTAATTTATTTTCTATTTCACTAAGGCATTCCTAAAGCTGTTTGTTAGGTGATATTGAACTGATTCAGTATGCCGATGCTTCTAGTAGGCAGGTGAAACAGACAAATACTTCAAAACACATAAACTTGACTTATTAAGAAATGGTGATCAGATTGTGATTGTTTGGTCAATAGTCATATAGAACTGGTGAAGAGATTTTTAACTATGAAGTTAATGCACAAACTCCCTGACTGCTTTTTGCTGTTTAGCCATAGGGTCTATCAGTTACCCATGTTACTGTGAATGTTCTGACTATCTTATTTAAGTATTATATCCTCTATGTTAAGTTATTCATGTCTTTTTTTTTTTCATCACAGAACTTAAAGAGGATGAAGCGGAGCTATCTGATGATGGTAAGAAGCTCATATTTTAATCATGACAAATGCAAATCTGTGTTTTTAATTCATGTCTTATGGAGGTTTTAATCATGGTCCTTCATACTTATTTGTAGAAGGAAAAGAAACAGAGGTCAACTATCGGACGGTCACTATCAACACTGAACAAAAAGTTTCAGATGTCTATAATATTGAAGAAAGGCTGGGATCGTAAGTACTGTATTGTGGTTTTGAGGACCTGGAGTTTTCAAGGCTACCAGTCAGTTCTAAAGATGGTGTGCATTTATTCTTTGGTGGTGTCTTGCACTTTCAGTATTCCAACTGGGGTTCTCTGTTGCAGTAGATACAGATTTTAACACATGTTGGCCTCCACTCCATTAAGAGTCTTTATTACTATTAATTGATAATTTTAAATAGGCACTATATGCACTTCTGGCAAGGAAAATGGAGCCCACAGATGAATAAAGCTAGAGGATTCATTCGTTTTTCAGTGTTCCAAAAGCTAGCTGACAAAAAAGGTACACATTGTGGGCTTGCATTCCCATTATATCCATTAGTGGTAATAAGATTATCCTGCCCATGGGCTAGAATCTCTGTTGACAGCAGTCATAATCCCAAGAGCATTAATAGTATTGCCAGCGAAGGTCAGTGATTAGCCTGGCTGTGCTCCTCCGCGCTGAAGCTGGTGGTGATGCAAGCTGCTTGCCGTGCTGATCTTGCAGTGGTTTGTGCTGCTGGTGGTGCTGGAGCCCAGGGGATGCTGTCATTAACAAATCCCGAGAAGTGTATCCTAGATACAGAATTGTACTTATGCAGCAGTGTGAAATAATAATAGCACTGAAGCCTCTAGCAGTTCAGATTCTGTTTTCACCTGTATGTCTCCTATCTGCTGACCTTTCAGAGGTGTATGACCTATGGAAAACTGTGTGCAGAAAAACTTGAGGCACATGAATTGAAGCTTGGTAGGAGTCCATTTTTTGAACCCTCTTCTATAAAACTTGCTAACTGGAGTAGCAGAGTATCTATAAATGTGATATTCATGCAAAAGTTCTTGCAGATTACTCTGTGTAAAATCAGTACAGAACACTACTTGATATGAAGACATTTTTATTTCAGAATGGAATGATTATGCTGGAATATTTAGTACTATGTTGCTATTCATGGTGGCCCATATATTGTGAAGACATTTTACAGAAATAGCTATGTATTTTCAGGGGGAAATTTGGACAAGTCTTTAGGCTTGTTGAAAAGAAGACTGGAAAAGTTTGGGCAGGAAAATTTTTCAAAGCATATTCTGCTAAGGAAAAGGAAAACATAAGAGATGAAATCAGCATCATGAACTGTCTACATCATCCAAAACTTGTACAATGTGTAGATGCCTTTGAAGAAAAAGCCAACATCGTTATGGTCTTAGAAATGTAAGTATAAAGTAGATCACTAATGATGTTTTAAGTAATTGTGTTTGCAAAAGTATCAACCTACCCAGACATGGGACTGTCAAAAGCTTCAAGATCTGCAGGGCTTGAATGGTTTTCACGTTTTGCAAGTTCTTCCAATTATTTATCCAACTAGTTTAAACAGTGTAAAAGAATCTGTGTTTTATCTCTTAAAAATCAGTGTAAACATGTTACAGTCTTTATTGTCTAGTTTGTTTGGTCTTTAATCAAGTGCATGTGGTGTTTTTCTTCAGCTCATTCTTTTATCACCAACTTGGGACGGGAGTGAAAAAAGTTAGCTGCAGTTTGGGCATGTATTTAGAACCAAATACGGGTTTAAGGAGGAGAAAAAGAATTCTTTTTTCTTTAGGCATTTCTAAACACATATTGAACAAGCTTGTGTCAAATTTCACTTAGCAACTGATCGGTTTTCTTCTGCAGCGAATCGAATGTTGCTGCACAGCAGATAGCAGGAGAGAAGGATACGCTTGAGAATGCAGACAGCTAAGCTGCATTCTAGCAAAACAGTTGAACTTCGTGAAAAATTCCCCCAGGCAAATTTATAGTACCCAAGAGTATTTAGAACAATTTAGTTTCCAACAAGTGCTTTATCCAGTTTTTGTATTTTTAAGGGATGTTAAAGGATTAGTCTGATGTGTTTTTCCTAGAACAACATAAATACTCTGATTGCAGAGCGTTTATTTATAATAAAGGAGAGCTGTCTAAAAAACTCTCCACAGGTGAACACAGCGAGCATTCAAAATTTACCTCAGTAGATGCAGAAAGATTAGTTACAAAGATTGTTTCTCCCCCCAAAATAATGAAACATTAATTGACCTGCCCAAATGTCAATACACAGATTCTCTATAATGGTCCAGGTGCAGCAGCTGTAGAAGGGATTTCTCCTTTACTGGAAAGTCATTGTACTCTTCATCCAAAGCTGTACAATTAAGTAACGCTGAATTTGAAGACAGCTTATACTGCTGTCTTGTTCTTGCTGAGTAAGATAGCAACATTTATTTTTACCTCCCAGAAACTCTTTGCTTTGAACTACTTATGCCATGCCACTGTGGGAAGTAGCAGAAAAACACCACAAAAGCCGTGCTGTAAAGTATCTCAAGTATCTCACAGGGTTCTGACTTGGGTATCTTTGTATTTAAAGATAGTCAATATTTACTTCCAAAAAAAAAAAAAAAAAAAAGACCGTTCAGAACATGTTCATGCACTAGAATTCATTGTAAGAGTCCACACCGCATGGGAGGGAAAGTAACGGCCAGGATTCAAAAATAATAACCAACATGACCAACATTTACATCATCCATAATGCACCTGCTTAGTGTGAATCCCCTACATGTGGCAGTAGCAGCTGGGAAGTAAATGAAATCCTGATCTGGGCTGAAGTTTTTCCCCAAAAGATACATCAGTTCTGCTGCCACATCTACTTCACATGTCTGCTGCAAGGAGAAGCAGGTTTTCTGGCTGACTGGAAGTGCTGAGTAGGATTGTTAGAAGCCAAAGAGACTATATATATACTTCGCTTGCTTGGCACTTGCCTAGACTATGTGTAAACTGCTGTTGCACTAGCATTTCCCAGAGAATGAATCTCCATTCTAACACTCTGGAACTTATGTGCAAGAAGGTGCTTTTATATTTAGATTCAGCAGTTGAGCAAGCTGCTGATGGGAAGGGAAGGAGCCCTACTTAGCTTCGAACTGGGAGCTGGCAGACGTAATGGAAAACAAGGAAATGTGTCAAGAGTTTTGAATAGCATATGGCTTTACAGTTCATTAGTTCCCCCTTCCAACAAAACAGGTTTAGTGTTCAAAAATGTAGAAAAGTGCAATCAAATTTAAGTTTGTTTTGTTAACCAGTCTAATTAAGTTGTGATTTTACTTTTGAGGTGGCCACCTTTTCTGGAATTTGAATTTCCTCCCTGAAATTTCTATAGTGTCAAGAGCCACTCAACACCCTCGAGAAGGGTTTGTTAAAGCAGCACAGGGGCAGGCAGATGCTTTCTGGCCCTGCTTGGGAGCAGCTCTGGGCAGTGAGATGCTTGTGTGACACCTTCCTATCTGGTGGCTGGGTGGCCTCCATACTGTCCCCACATGGCAACTGCACCTGTACTGTCAGAGAACCACGGATGGGTCATTCCTGGTTTAGCCATTAAACTAGTATCTCTTTGCATAGTGAAGTTGTAGAAGACACCTTCAAAAATTCTTAGTATCCAAGCTGTTCTCTTTATTCCTATCAGAGTCCAGATGCATGGATTTCAGATAAATCAAACTCACCTGCCTTTGAAACCAGCTTTGAGCAGTGACTGAAATTTAGCAGCTCCCCCTCTGCTCAAACAGAAGTTATTGATGAGCAGCACCTTTGGATTTTTCTTCCTGATATTCATCCTAAATTTTTAATTTTCATTTTATTCCCATACATTTTATAACTTTTTGAACTTCACCTTCTCTTCTTTTAATATTTGTCATGCCACTATTTTATATTATTTGATGTCATATTTATAATAAATTCAGAAATTTTTACCATTTGTTTAAAATCAAACATTATAATGATTCAATACATGTGATGTACTCTTCCCTGGAAACACTCCCATCTACCATTTACTGGAAGTCAGGGCCAAATCCTGGGCATTTTCTTTTCAAATACAGCAATATACTGATTCCACAACAAGCACTTCAGTGGAAAAAGAATACCTGAAAAATAGTAGCACGTTGTGAATGGCATTCATTACTGAGAGCCTTGAAGTTTTTACATACTTTAGATAGTCATTTTATTTTGACATAGATCAGAAGATTATTCTATTACAAATTAAGATTATTAAAGCAAAATTTCAGCAGTAAACTCCATTCATTTGATGTGATTTAAGTCAGCACAACTCAGTAAGTTTTTGTCTTTTTTTCAATGAGAGATTTATTAAAATGCAGCTGAGCATTTGCCTGGGCAACGTCAAGGTAGATTCTTTACAGTGTTCCTCCATGACCAAAACGTTATAATAAAATATTTTTTAAATGTGCATTCTCTGACTCTATAGACAAGAGTCTTTTCCTCTGTGACCTGATCTAGAGAAGTCTGAAAAGAGGAGAATCCAGAAAAGACAGGTTGTGAACTAGTTATGACTGTTTGAAGAAAGCTGACTTTTCCTTTTGTGTGTACGTAGCACCTCATTTGCACTGGTTCAGTTCAGCTTCTTGTCCTGGCAAAAAATCACACTGGATTTGGTTCAGGATATAAATGCAAGAATAGACATTCTATAAATGCTATTGCTGTTTATTTTAATGAGTTACCAGACTCTGTTACCAGAGTATCTGGAGAACCCAGGGTAAAACCAGCGTGCAGATGTATTAACAGTAGTTAATTTCCAAATAATATGCTAAAAAGTGGTGTTTGAGACAATGGCACAATCACTCAAAGTTTTTCACTCTATGGAGCTCAAAAGTATGATACTTTTATCTGTCATCATTATCTGTTTTAAATAGTAAAAAAACAACTGGTACTTTTTAGTATAAGGTTGGTTATCATTTGGAAGTGCAGAGTGCTCCAGATATAAACATTTTGCATCCAGATGTGTTCATAAACACCTCCATACTGGTTAATGCCTTAATGAAGTAACAAGATACCAGATCCTTGACTCACCAGAGCTGTTTCTAGCCATATTATCATCTTTGTTACAGATGTGCTATAATCCAGCATAACATCTCAGTTTGTCCAGCCTATGCTATTCTTACTGTTTTCATGTTAACACGAAACTGCAGTTGCATTTCTAATTATATTTTTTCTGGAGTCTTATAGCCAAAGCAACAAATATATCCAGAACTCCAGATGTTTCAGTTTCAGTTTAATATGTGAGGGATATAATCACATATCTGACAACCTGCAAAAACAGCAAGGCCAGTTTTCAGTTGCGTGTTCTTCCTCTAACTGAAATGTGCAGTTGCATTTGCCAATAGGCATGAATGCTGCAAAATATTAAGCCATATAAAGACCATGGAGTGTTTAATTTAGAACAGATTTCTAAATGCAAAGCTGATATTCACTACTTGCTCCTTTCTATATGGGTCATTCACCCACTTATTAAAAAAAAGTATTTCCCATCTTTGGACACAAGCAGATAAACCAGTTGAGTTCCGATTACCCAGGATGTAGACAAAAAAAAAAAAAAAGACAAAAAAAAAAAAAATTAAACACACACACACAAAAAAAAAGAAACAAAAAAAAAGAAAAAAAAAAAGAATCACACAAACCAACCTACCACCAAGCCCCAAGCTAAAATAAACCACAACTTAAATTTTGCTTTATTAAATCTAGGTTAAAAATGTCCCACTTTAGTCCCACAAACGAGTCAATGCAGGAGATTCTACCCTGGAAAAACCAATTATTTCACAACTTATATAAGCATAAAAATGGATTTGACCTACAAGGAGTGTGATGATGGCTCAGCTAAAAATACCAGCACTGAAAGAGTTGTGGGTTATATCCTTGTCCTGTCACAGCTAAGGAGGAAATTCCCTCTGAGCTCACTTGGGTCAGTAATTTACCCTTTGAGCTTTGCATTCCAGTTAACCATGTCATTTAAATTCTTCCTTCTTCAGCCTTTCTTTGTCACTTTCAATCTCTCTGTTTCCCAGATTTTGCTCATATGCTAGAATTTTTGTCTTCTGTTCCTGGGACCCATCCCACGTATTTTGGTTTTCTTTACTTCTGAATTCTGTTGTCTGCACTTGTGTAGTGATGGAGCGCTGGGAGGAAGGAGGCAGTGAGAAACATGAGCACAGAGCCTGGAACAGAGTTACACACACATGTCAGCAGGGTGACAATCCCACAGCACATGCTTCACTACCTGCTGCAGGTGACTGAATCATAAAGGAGGCAGAATCCAAATCCAGCTACATCCCTACTGCCTGGGATAACAGTATGAGTGTTTCACAGTCCCAACCTGGGAAAGAGATTGAGAATGGAAAAAAATCTATTCATTTACAGCACACACAAGAGTTGATTCTTCTGTGTGATCCTTGTGTCTATGGAAAGTGCCCTTACAAAACATAGACTGCATCTTTAAGTGACTCTTGCAAGCTTGAACTATCTGTATTTCTGTAAAGGAAATAGTTTGATTACTTCAAAAACAAAAATGCTACAGAAGCCCACTTTTCATTCTGTCTTTCATAGGGTTTCTGGAGGAGAACTCTTTGAACGAATCATTGATGAAGACTTTGAACTGACAGAGAGAGAGTGCATTAAATATATGAAGCAGATTTCAGAAGGAGTTCAGTACATCCATAAGCAGGGTATTGTCCACTTGGATCTGAAGCCAGAAAATATTATGTGTGTCAACAAGACTGGTACAAGTATCAAACTCATTGACTTTGGACTTGCAAGAAGATTAGGTAATGACTTTTCTGCCTATTTCAATATGTCACGGGGTAAAGAGTGGGACAAGCAGTTATTCATACTTCCTATTATATTCTTTCATGTATAAAGAGTAAATAGACATGTTTGCTATAAATAATTCTGGGGTTAGGTAAAAATAGAAAAGGGAAAAAGAAGACATTCAAGAGTGAGAGTAGGGCACCTCATCTTCAAGAGGCATTTGAAGTGAAGTGTATACAGCTACCTATCTGTTTCTATGGCTACAGTATCCCTGTAGATTGCAAGGTAAAATACACAGCAGTAGTAATATTGACAAACATGTACAGATGCTGAAGGGAACCATAAGCTACTAACTCTTTAACTGTAAAATTTAGAATAAAACCTTGATCTTCATGAATACTACAAATCCTTGAAACTTCTGTAACAGCAGGAGTTAAGATTATGTTCTAGAAGCCTTTAAGATATGGATAATTATATTCAATTTACATTTCCCCATTGGTTTTACCATTTCTTACCTTGAACAGCAGCATATTGTCATATGTGCTAAACAGGGGAGGAATTCTATAAAGACCTGTGTTTTGGTCACGTTCAAAATTATTATTAAAGTAGCTCTACTTAAAAACAATGCAATGGGACTGGGGAGAGAAAGGAGGGAAGTTCCATCTGACAAGCTCTTCCCTTTTCCTAAATTGTTTTTAGCTGCTTCCTATCATTCATTTGGAACTAAGATTTCCAACTCTGCAATGTGAAAGCCACATACCTTTGAGGGTTCTTGTCTTCATACTGCTCCACATTAATTCAGCTCTAAAAAGCAGCCCTGCAGTTGTGTGTGTTAGAGTTAAACAATACCAATATCACACACTAATCTTTGATAATCTCCTATTTTTACAAGAGGAAAAAAAAAAGTGTCATTCCAAGAACTGAAAGGAGCTAAAATACTTTATGAACCTGTTACACTGAGATAACTGCTATGCTGTTATAACTGAGATTTGTGGCTCTTCTGCCATTAAACTGATTGGGACAACTCCTGTGATTTGCTACTCTCTATATAAAGGGACCCACATCTAGATTCTTAGTTGTAATCTTTTGCCTTCCCTTTTTAGACAAAATTATTTTTAATACTTAATTAAAAATAGAAAAAATATTTTTGTAAGAGTACACTTTGGAATTACAAACTTCTGGTTTTTGTTATCAGCCTACATGCTGCTCACTGCTGCATACCCAAGAACATAATTCTGCTAAAACAAACCAAAAATAGTATGTTGAATGGTTAAGAGAAAAGAAAACTGCTTTTCAGATGATGTTCAACTCCAAAAGGGTATTACATGAATCTTGGTCACATGGACACTGTGAACTCAGAGATAAGGTGTCACTCATTAAAAAAAGAGATCACTGCTATTTATGTTCCTTCTCCAGTTTGGAGCCAATAGTTTTCTGGGAGCATGAACTGGGTTTTGTTTTTGTTGAGGAAACAGATCAACTGTTAAGTAAGTTCCAGTGCTGAAGTTTTTGTTATCTGAGGTGTGTGAAAGACTTCATCCCATGGTGTTCCAGCTGTCAGCCTGAAAACCATACGTTTACTGCTGAAATGAGTGGATTTCATCAAGAATAGATACGATGGAGCCACAGAATGGCCTTTTATTGAAATTTCTTCAGCTATCTTTTTAACTTCAAACCACAGTTAAACCCACATTTAGCAAAACGAAGATCCTATTTTCAGTATCCTGTTCAGCATTTCCATTTTTCTGTTAATTGTGGGGCATCACTGTACACTGAATGTGGATGCCCCTCCCTGGCAGTGTTCAAGGCCAGGTTGGATGCGGCTTTGAGCGACCTGGTCTAGTGGAAGGTGTCCTGGCCTGTGGCAGGGGGTTTGGAACTAGAGATCTTCCAAGTCCCTTTCAACTCAAACCATTGCATTTCACTACACTTGCTTGTGAGCTGCTACAGTTGTATCACATCCATAACTTATCTCAATGTAGAAGGATGAGAGCTATGGGCACTGATGGTGATTTTGGCTTTACAATACTGAATAGTCATTTGGCTGAATGTGTTGCTTAAACATTCTCAGAGAATGTAATACAAACGTTACAGTTACATTATAGGTATTTGCTGTTTTGTTCATCAGCCTGCTGTTCTGGGTAACTCAGGGCTCCTCTCCCCAGAAAGAGAACGTGCCCTCCCGCTCCATGCCCCTACTGCAAAGGAACTGTGTCAATCACCAAAGCATTCATAACATTAACATTCACAACAATTTGTACTGTTTCATGTACTTATAAAAATTGCTAACAACATTTTTCACTAAGTGCTTGCTTCTTACCAGTTCTCGTATGTGGTGCACTGAGGGCACATTCTTCCACTTGTGTTCCTTCAAGCCTTATGATTTTGAAATTGTCTGTCAAATTCACTTTGGCTTTGACAGCTGCAGGACTGACACCCTCCTGCTATGGACCTGACCCCGACTGAGCAGAAACTGCTCGACCAGGGGACTGCTGGAAGGAACAGTGGCTAATTTTGCACTACCGTTTACATTTAAAGTTTTGTACCTGGTGTAAACTAATGCCTTTAAATATTCAGCATTTTGATCAGTTTTAAAGAAATTTGGATCAGCTCCTTCTGCAGTCATCCTCTGCAGCTAATTAGTTCTCTTACACTGTCAGGAAATACCAAAGCTGCAGTGGGATATTTTCCTGACCTTTTTTGGTGTGCTGAGGAACACATGTAGAAAATTGTTTAAGATAAACTTCTGGAGAAGAAACGAGAATGATTTTTGAGTACCATAAAGTTGTTTTTTTTTTTAACCAGTTGATTATACAGTGTTGGCAACAGTTTCCAGCTAGCTTGTCAGCTTTCTATCTGAGCTAGGGGATATCCAAAGACAGATCCTACTTGTGTACTGAGCTTGTAAACATCTGTGTAAAGATTTGACATATTACGGCATAGAAAAGGTCTTATACTTTTCTTTTTACTTTTATACGCAGAAAATGCTCTATCAGTTGTTTCACACTATGCTTGCACTCAAGTGCCATGTTTTCAAAAAAAGTTTCCCTGACCTATGGGCAGCACATTTCACACACCAGCCTTTTGCATACACAGTGGTTCATTGTAGTTTACACAGTGCACAGAAAAGCCTCCAAACTTGGATGTGAAAATCTGAGCCTGAGATTTGGATGATCATGATGAAGCTTCTAGAAAATAGAGGTTTTGTGAAAAAAAATCAACAATTTTTCATAATGACAGTTGGAAAAAAATGTGTTGACCTTCAAAAGAAGGTAAATGGGAAGATGGGACCTTAGGCTTCCCATTTCTGCTTGGAAAAGGAAGGGTGATCTCTCACTCCCCACTGCGATTGTGTAGAAGACATTGCCCTTGTTTTAGGCTACATCAGTTTAGATTTGGTGTCAGGAATAGCATCCTCATGCTGGTGGTAACTCTTGTTAGGTGAGTCTAGGGATGTTGTGGAATAGTTTTGAATGTGCTTTTTAAAGGCTGGTCAGGTATCTGGCAGGAAGGTCTTGATGTTGGTGAACTTGCATGGGAGGATCTAGGTGATTTCCTGGGGCTACTCACAGATGTTCTTCCTGTTTCTGTCTCCAGAAATGGGCACTCTCTGCGTGGAAGGGTCTCTAAAAGCAGGGCTTACATGAAAATGAGGTTTCTGCAATTAACTTACTATTCACCATACCTGAGCAGAGAAAAAATGGTTTCACAGCTTTTAAAATGAGCAAGTGGCACGACTGTGAATGAATTACTGTGGCAGTGCTGTTCTGTCACTAGACAAGTCATTAACCCCATATATTCTTCAACTTCATTTGGTAAATTGGAGATTTGCATACCTCACCAGAGTACTAACTTAGGTCTATGATTACAGTTTATGAAATGGGCTAACAGCTTTGTGCGGAGTCAGTATCGGGATCAACATTTATGTTGCAAAACTTGGTAAAAGAAGTTCTGGTAAATAAACATACTCTGTTATGATTAAGTGTTGTGGACAAGTAGCTTCTGTTGTAGTCTTCTTAAAGCTTTGATCTGCTGTTGCTTGAGGTTTTTTAAACTTTCCTCTTAATTATAGAGCTGCAAAGAAACAGGGTTGTAATCTGTTACATCTGATTTTCTTCCCATTCATATATGTTTTATTTAGATGTTAACCTCTTTTTGAGAGGAATGGTTCCTTACTATGTCAGATACTGATTACTCTGACATGTGCAGAATGGAGAGTTTATCAACCTAAATTCAAGCCTGCTTCAAGTCAGAAAAAATGTATTTTCTGACATTTCCTGACACGCTTATTCTTGCATAGTACAGATTTTTTTACTGGGATTGTTTTTGTTTCCCTCAATTCCTAATCTATTCCTTAGTTTCCTCCCTTCCTGATCGTGCTTAACCTTTACGTTTTCCCATCCTATTTAGAATGAGCATCAATGAAAATTAGTCCACTGAGATTTGCCTAATAAATTATATCTAAATGACTTGTGCTGTGTTTCACACTGTGGCCAGAAATTAGATATATCACTCACAGCTGCACACTGGCAGTATAAACCAGAAGTATTAGGTTCTATATAGGTTGTTACTCTACCTTAGCCTTTGTATTTTCCAGTAGAGCAATAGTGGTGGGTCAGCACAAGAAAGATGAAGAATGAGTTCACGTGTGCTGTCACCTCATCCTTTCAGCTCATGTTGCTAGCAGTAGCTTCACTGTAGCTCATTTTAAAAGCATCCACATGGTGGCTAAGCAGAGCCAAGTACAGGACATCTGCACTACAGGCCTGCTGAATAGATGTTTGGAGTGGCAGCTGGTGACTAAGCATTTGTGGTCCCCCTTTACCACTTTGGATCTCCCCAGGTATGCTTGTAGGCAAGCCTGGTTTTGAGAGTAGCCTTAAACCCAGTTTTACTGACAAGGTAGTGATCTGGCAGGTGCACATCATCTGGTTCTTTTCCTGTTTCAGCAGTGCTATCTCAAATTTCAGACATGCAACCCAGTCTTGATTTTCTTTCCTGTTTAAATTACAAAATTAAAAAAAAAAAAAAAGTTGGATTCAAGTAATTACTTCTTATTATAATTTCATCACTGCTATTTCTTTTTACAGTAGAATTCCTGAGCAGATCCCTGATCTTTGATAAACCTTAGATAATTTGTGAGACCTTCAGCTCCTAACACTGGAATCCTGAAGTCCTCTTGTGCAGCTGGTAGAGTGATGGAGGCTCAGGCCCTTTTTACTTCAGGACATCCAAAACTAAATTAAACACTAAAAATTCTCCTCTTTCTTAGACTTGGTCTTGTGGAAAATCCTTGCAGCAGAAACCTTCTTATTACATGCCTTGTACAGTGCTGTGTGTTTGAGGATGCTTAATAAATAATTCTTTATTGATATACATGTATTAGCTGAGAAGATGGAAGTTTAGGCTTTATTACTTTGTCTGATAAGTATCTTCAACAAAATCACAAATACGTGGACAAAACTGCCTTTCCTGTTGCTGGAGAATAATTGCTTTTTAAAATGTGCATGTGGCAGTTAATGTTTTTTTCTTCCATTCTTCACAGAAAATGCAGGTTCTCTGAAAGTTCTCTTTGGGACACCTGAGTTTGTGGCTCCAGAAGTTATAAACTATGAACCTATTGGATATGAAACAGATATGTGGAGTATAGGAGTTATCTGCTACATTTTGTGAGTACCTTTGCTATTCTTAACACAAATCCTGACAGTTACTGAACATAGGAAATTTCCATCGACTTTTGAATTCTCCTCCAATTCTCATGCCTTTTGTATTCTCTTTAGCAGTTCAGCATGTTCAATTAAAATTCTCAGTTCTCTGAAGGGTGTAATTCAGCCATTTAGTGCTGTACATCTTGTTTCACAAACCAGCAACACTTCATCTAATTTGAAAGGACAACATGACAGTATTTTATTACTGACGTTAAACAATTTTTCTTTCCCAGATGTTAAAGAGAAATGTTTGAGCATGTACTAATAACTGATCAATTCCATGCTTTTATTCCCAAGTGAGAAAATTTTTGTGACATTTTGGTGTCTTCTCATTCAGATTGTATCCCTCATGGACACGCTAAAGTATCCCAGCATTACTGTATCTGTTCACAATGCATTTTCATTTATTACTAAGCACAAACCACTGGATAAATGCATTTTATAAGCAACATGGATCATGGAAATATTTTAGAGGATAGTTGGCTGCAGCTCTTGGTTACCTATTTCAGTATTTGATCTTTATATGTGATCTGATAACACATAATCATGAACTTCAGTGGGTCTAGAGAAATGTATATGGAAATAGTACAAGAACAGCAAGCGATCTTCTTCCAGCTGTGACTTTATGCATTTGATGCCATATAAACAAATGAAAAGAGAAGCTCAGTTTGGAGCATGGCTCTGGTTCCCTCATTCCAGTTTCAGTAGTAAGTAAATGGCAGATCTGCTTTGCACTTACTCTTTTCAAAGGCTTCTCTCAAAATCTCTTTTTTAAGAGCCCTCTCCTCCCTGGCTACTCTCTTTCATGGCACCTAGCCATACACAGTTGTTTGACCCATCTTTACTCAGTCTGTCTGTGACTCTCTTTGCCTTGTCAGCCTGTACCTACTCTCATGCTCTTATGATTTCCAAACTACACAACAGGATTTTCTTTCATGTCCTCTGCAGAAGCTACTGCATCAGCTCTCTTACTCCCAGCAAAGACTCTGAACAGTTCTGTTATCTTTGGTTTCTTATGTGAAGCATGCTATACTCTTCAAGGTCACTTTGCTCTGCCAGTTTATTTACAGGACCTTCATTTTACATTCGCTGCCAGCATTTCTTTGTAGATCTTGAAAGCTCATTTGGATCATGCTGCAGTTCAGATTATGTAGACCACACAGTCAGTCCCGAGATGACAAATTCCTTTACTTCTCTAGCTCTCGAGGCCTCCCGAGCTGCGGAGCCGTGGCAGAGCGGTGCGGAGCTCCCAGGCTGCGTGCCCAGCGATGGCACACCCAGCAGTTCCACCAGTGCTGCATTGCCCCCTAGAGGCCTCGGACACCTCCGGGACCAACCGTTAACCGCAGCGTGCCACGCACCGGCGGGCTCTACCGCCTTTTGCTGTCCTTTGTTAACAAAGTTAACAAAGTGTCCTGTGTTTACGGTATATGTAGTGAGAGGTCAGACAGCCGAGGCAACAACCGGTGAGAGCGGCTCAGTGTGCTCCCAAGGCACGCAGCCAGGGGTGCCTGCCCCGGTGTGGTAGGTGCTGGAGAACACCGTTCTCTAAGTAGCCGGGACAAAGGGAGCAGGAGAAGAGGTGAAGTGTCCTGCCAAAGACCAGCCTGCCGGCAGGGGCAGAACTGCTGCGTCCCAGTTTCTCGGTGCCACCAGAAGCAAGATATTTGGATGCTGTAACATTCAGCTGATGGGATTGGGGTGATGTTACACTTGATTCAGATGACCTGATAGGCCTTGTGAAATGTATTATGAAATTACTTGTTTGCTAAGGCGTCTTTAAAGCTCATTTAGCTCCTCATAAGGGGAAAGTTACATTACCCAAACAAAGTGATCTTTGTTTGGATGCATAACGATTGACACAATAATGATTAACAGTAATAATCAGCTTTTGTCTTTCTTGCAATAAGAATGAAGTAATAAAAGCTAGGGAAGACCTGTGAGTCATCGCTTGGACCTTCCCTCTCCACCCCAGAGTGCCAGGCTCCCAATCTGTCTTCACTTCCTTAAAGCCCAGCTATTTTTGCGGACTCAGAACTAGAAGCCATTATCCAAAATGGACCATCACATCACCATTGCAGAATGCAAATAAAAGTCATTGAGAACTCCATCTCTCTTCAGCTGTAGCTCCGCTTGCCTGTTGTGATTATGAGCTCCGAACTGCTGAGACAGAAGACTAGTGAA